AAGGTAGATACAATTCTAGTATGAATTGATTGTAAATTCGTAAGGTTAGTTGAACATAGATTTACTTACTCTAAAATACACGTTATACATATTGTAAGGTTAAAATGTCAGTTGATTATACTGTTTAGTAATTGCTTTCACTGTTCCACGTATCTATGAAATGCTTCTAAAGTAGGGTCGATGAGGTAGGGGTCTAGGTGTGTTGCCACTCATCATGCCAACAAACAAGTTTGGTTTAAAGTCTTTGACCCATCTCTGTTCATTACCAAGTTTCTAGTGGTATGTATTATGTTTTACATTTGTGTAGGATTAAGTACACCAACTATCCTGTTTCACTTCAGAAAGAAAAATAAGTTTGCAGTAATCTATTTTACACCTAAACGGTTTAATTTGATCCTTTTTGACCCTGGACGACACAAACCACGGGCACACAACGGTAAGCATTTGCATAAAAATGGTTAAAAACGTAAAGCTTCAAGAATGCCTCAAAGTAAAACAAATTTTTCGACATGCTTAGCTTATATAAGATTCAAAGTAATTGTAAAAAGTGAAAAAAGGAAAAAATTAGAGAATAAAGTTACCTCAAAGTGTATGAAAATTTGTTAAGAAAAAGCTAATTTAACCAACTTGGCCTGTGGTGACTTTTTCGATACTCCAAAAAGGGGAACTGGAACATGTATTTACATATTGAAAAAAATGGTACGAAAATGGAAAAACAAATTGAATGTAAAACGAACACGGACTCACGTGAGAGTAGAGAGACATCATGATCTTTAGCTTCCATGTTACTATAATATACAAACTTGAATTATCACTAATTTAAGATATCTTCATCAAGCATGCATCATACATACAAATATATTATGTGTGCATGTTTGGACTTTTATATAGTTTTATGAATTTACGACAAACTCAAACAACAGCCATAATCACTCGATTATGGATATGTTAGTTTTAATTCAAGATTAATGGAAATAATCATGACTGTTACCTGATACAACTTCAAACATTTTTTTTCTTAATTTTGGTGATTAATATATGGATGCTATTAGTTAAATTTAAATTTATTATTGTAGTACATATATTTAATCCAAATTACGTATTATGGTAAGTGAATATTAAAAACTAATCATACAAATTTCAACATTAGTCGAACGTCCATATTGAATAAATATATAATTCACATACTACGAAACTGGTCAAGGGTTTAGAAAGCTTATGATCAATACATGTTAAAATAGAAGTATCATGTATATAAGAAAGATACTTGAACTAATAGTTCTTAGAGCGAAGTATCATGTATATAAGAAAGATACTTGAACTAATAGTTCTTAGAGCATCATCAATGCAATACTACTAAAATTGATCTTATGATTTGTTTAATAATTTAATTAAAAACTGAGCTTCTTCTATCTATATTTTGTTTTTATATAACATATCATACCTTAAGTTTTAAGTGTATTTTGATTTTTATTTAATGCTAAATTAACATAAGAATGCTCTAAGAGCTGTGCACTGAGGATGCTCTTAGTTTTTTACCCAAGTTCAAGTATCATGGCGATTAGTGAGTAGTAGACTTAAGAATAATTAAACGGAAAATTGAAATAAAATTAATACATTCTTTTTGCTAAACTAATTTATTTTCTAGCCAAAATACAAACTAATATCATATTAATTTTTTTTTGGGTGAAAATATCATATTAATTATTTGCTATGTATCATATCAAATTACGTTCTCCATTTTATTAACACAAAAGCAATAATAGAACAGAGAAAAAAAAGAACTAAAGGTATTATGATGATAGATTTTATAATCAAAGGTAGATAATGTATTTTTTTTTTAATACTAAAAATTTTATGTGAGTAATGATGGTGTGATCATTCGAAATAAAAGGTTTACAGATGGAACGGTACTGAACTCAAATATATTTGTGTAAAAATATACTCTAAAAATAAAATAATAAAACCAGTGTAATTATGCTATTGAATATGTTTATGTTATCAAATAAAAGAACAATATGATAACTATTATTGGAAACCGAATGAGGCATACGTATGTCTCTGTCTAGGAGATAACAGACCAAGTGGTAACCTTATTGAAACCCTCTTGGGACAATGTCCTTTCACGTCACAAAAGCGAATGCCCAAAAACATTAAACTACACTTTCTTTTTTTTACAAAATCAACATCTATCAGTATTAAAGAGAAATACATATCCATGTGTGGATGAAATAGAACAAATATACAAATGTCGACTGTATTAAATGTAATATGAAAATTTATTAAGGCCTATAGTATACGTATGTTGTGTGTTGTGTGTTGTGTGTTGTGTGCTTAACTTTTTTCCACGTAAAATTATTTTTTTGAAATTGTGTCATTTTGTCACACCTACTTTTCTCCGACATTGACCGAATTTTCAAATGAATCCTATACTTTTGATTAGTTATTAATTAGTGTTTTAACTAATTAATATACCAACCGGCAAAAAGGCAAAAACACAACACGACGTAGGAAGAAAAAAAGCGACGTCCAGAATCTTTAGTCGCTACATTAAGTTCGAAGATAGGTTCATACTTCATTCTAAAAGAAAATTAGAAGATGGACTTAGACGACCAAAGTCAGACTTATGAGATACTTTGGCGTGAAAGAGAGAGTTACACTCTCAAGTTAGTTTTGATATATTCTTGGTGTTTTTACAGTAAGATATAGTGTTATGTTGGTTGCAGTTAAATTTTAGAAATGCTGTTGGACATACATAGCTGGTCGATGAGACTAGCAATGGCGGGGATATGTAATTTTTGTTCTACTGTAGAATAAATGTGATCTCTACAAACAAATACGAATGTTTTACGACTATTGAGTTACGGATTTGATGTTATTTATGATGCTCAAATCTCAATAGCTTGATGCAATATCAATATGGTATACCCATGTTCCTTTCATAATCGTAAGTAGCTACTATTGCGACTGCAACTAAAAAATATAATATCGACTTAATAATCTTGTTTAGAAGTGTATGATTTTATATACCAATTGATCAAACATTTATACATTTAATTTGAAGTATACTAGTATTAAACAAATTCTGAAGTATACTATACAATTGACATAAACATAAATAGAGATATTTTCCCACCTGATGAACAACTTTGATTCGAGTTAGAAAACGAACAATCTTTTTAACTATTTACTTTTTTCTTAAATCCTAATTGTCATTGAGCCGTACTCTGCACATAGGTAACATCATCTTTTACCAAGAATACTTTTTTTTTTTTCTTTTCTCTAAAGTCTCAAAACAAATGTAGCTCAAATTGTCTATTTTAAAAGCATTTTGTTATTTGCACAAAAAAAAAACCATTTTGTTAAAAAGGACAATTTATATCTTTGTGCTTTGTTGTATATGTACGTCCACTTCTCTTCCTCTATGTAGCCTTTATAAGGAGGACCTTTTTCACAAAGAATATATACTTCCATGAATGAAAAAATATTCCACAAATATGGAAATATATTAATTGCTAGATATCTCTGTACATAATTTTAATGATTGAATCACAATTGATACGATAGAGAACAAACTCTTCTTTGTATAGGAGAAACATTTCTATTTTATCAGAATAAGGAAGCTTTTAAAGAAGAAAAATAAGTTGTAGAACATAATAAGTTGAAAGACTTTTAGTAAACCAAGGCAGAGACTTGGATTAACATGAAAACTATATATTAAAAAAAGGTTCAATACACCTATAAATAGTTTTGTTTCTCATTATTCTTTTTCTTTATCTTTGTGTTAAAGTTTATATACTAATTTTATTCATCATCAGTTGTTAGCAAAAATCATAAAAACTAAGTCAATATTGTAGATTTTCCAAAAGCAAAATTGTTTTCTTGGCCAATCCACTCATGCAATTTTGTAGCTCTTAACCATTTGCATATATGGTCTCATTTTTGTTTTTTTTTTGGCTGAACGGGGTACTTCACCATCGAGTCTTCTAACAAAGGAGATATGAACCATGTATTACCTCTGAAAGTCTATTTGCTTTCCAGTGGTCGGATCGCTTTGGTTTGGTTTACTAAAATTATCGCTTAAAAAACCATCTAATAACAAATTATTCTATCACCAAAATCTTAAAATTCTAAACATTATAACAAACTTTTGTTTCGAAAGGGTTCTTGAATATCAATATTCTTGAATGATGTTAGAAACTAGTTATTAGTTTCGAAAGGGTTCTTGAATATCAATATTCTTGAATGATGTTAGAAACTAGTTATTAGAAGTTAGTAAAATTTTAAAAAACATTAGATCATAAACTCAAATTTTAATAATGTTGGAATATTAGGACTTTGATAGTAAATGTACAAATTTAAAATAAATTATCTACACTCAATTATTTCATAAATTTATTTTTTATAAAATACACCCAATTTAATTTTAAGTAATATATATATATATATATATATATATCATTATTAGTTCGGGTTTAATATGATAATTACAACCAAAAAGTATTTGACATAGATGGAAGAATCTCTAATAATATACATAATTTAAATTGATAAGTTTTTAAATATATTTTTTCGAATCTTCCCCCATCTTAATCCCAGAAAAATAAATTTCAATTGTACAATACAGAAATCTGCGTCAAACCACTTCAATGTTAAAGTCCTTATCACTATTCACTACTTAGTTAGGAGTAAAATAGATGATAATTTTATGAAATTCCCATATTCACACATGCCTTAGAAAAAATAAAAACACAAACAAACACCTCTTCTCATCTCAACAAGACCAAAACACAAAACAAAACAAAAACCTCACAGTTCACTGGCCACGACCGTAATTTGCGCCTCATAAGTATGACTTTACAAAGAGAATGCCACTTTGGCTTTTCTCTAAAATATAATTCAAAACAAAAAAAACAAAAAGAAATAAATGTAAAACGCTTTTAAAAATTAAACACGTTCGTGCAACTAATAATAACACAATTAATTAAAAAAATTTAGAAAAGAAACAAAAATTAATTAACTATTTTTCCACTATTTCTCCAAAACTGTTTTACAAAGCTTTCTCCTGACAACACTAAATTAAATTATTAAAATATTATAAAAAAAGCTCATGAACTTGAAAATTAAAAAAAAAAAAAAGAACATCAAAATTTTTCAGTCGCACCATAGATATTTTCTTGCACCATCTTCATCACTCTCATCATCATCATCATCATCATGTTAAGCAACTAATAGATCTGATATCAAAGAATCATCAAAATCACTAAAACTTGTCATCAAGTCATCATCATCATTGTTGATGATACTTTCACTTTCCAAGATCATATCACTGAAGATATCATCATTTTCATAAAAGCCTTGATGATGACCCATCGGTTGATCAAATATAGACATCTCCGGTGGCGACTCGTTGAAGTAGCTGTCCAGGAACAGAGTGTTCAATGGAAACGAGTCGTCTGTTGTTTCTCCTGTACCGGTACTAAACCCGGTATGCCACCAAGGTGCTTCTGATATCTCCGGTTCCGGTTTAGATGATTTGAACGGTTGTTGTATTTGTTGAATCTCTTCGGACTGGAGATTGAGAACAGAAGTAGGAGATGAGAGGTGTTGGAAGTCTTCAGTTGATTCAGAACTCGATGTTGTTGTCGTCGTCGTGGTTGTCGTCGTAATGTTGATTTCCGGTTTAGTATCAATAACCGGTTCCGGTTCTTCTTCTTCTTCTTCTTGAGGCGGTATAGAGAAATTAGTTAAAGCGTCCGGTCCACGGAGTCTAATAGCAGCGTTATCGTAAACAACGGCGGCTTCCTCAGCCGTTTCGAAAGTACCGAGCCAAATCCTCCGACGTTGCTCCGGATCTCGAATCTCCGCCGCCCATTTCCCCCACGGCCGTTGTCTAACTCCTCGGAACTTCTTCGTCTGGCCGGAGACGGAGACTTTAAGAGGACGTTTAGCCGGAGACTGAAGAGACTCGTCAGAGAGACGTTTCCTCTCCTTCATCGAAACAGCGGCGGAGGCGTTGTTACAGGCAGGCTCGACGGTGATCTCGTTAACGAATCTTTTGACTCGACGGCGAGGAAACAAGAAATCTTCCTCGTCTTCGTCGCTAGAGGAATCAGTAGCGTCAGGATCGGTGAAACTGATACGAACCTTTCTGAAAGAGTCAGGAGGAGACTGATCGGAGAGTTTTTTCGCCGGTGAAGAAGACTTCTTGGTGTATTTAGTCACTGATGTTTTGTGCTCTGTGTACTTCAATGGTCTAAAGTTAATATACTCGTCCATTATCATTTCCTTTGGTTTCTCTCTTCTCTTCTTGTTTTGGTTTGTTTCTCTCTATATTCGCATCAAAATGAAACTAAGAAGGAGAATAAAAAGGAAGAGAAACAAAAAAACTTGGGAATCACGGTTTGTTTCGAGGAGATTCAGGAAGATGAGAGAAAATAAAGTTTGAAGAGAGATTTTTTGATAACAAGAAAGATTTTTTTTTTTCTTTTCTCTTTGTGAGGTGGGTGAGAGATAAAAAGAGAGAAAGAGATAAAACGTTTGTAAAACGAAACAGTGATTTTTATTTTAGTGAGGACCTTCTCAAGCTCACTCTTGAAATCCTCATTTATAGGATCTCTTCGGGGTTTTAGCCGTAATTATTTTATTCTTTCTTTCTTACTAATAAATATGGGAAATTATTATTATTTTTTATTTTGTGATTTCTTTCCTCTTTTTAATTGTCGAAGCTGTTCCTTTCCGCTCCTCTTCCTCCACCAGTGGCGTTATTACCGTAATTAACTACAAAGTTAAAGGGTAGTTTCGGAATTAGAGAGAGATGTGTGTTTTGTTTTTAAAAAAAGAAAGACGGGACGCCGCATTCATGAGAGCAAGTCGCATGGTGACACGTGGCTATATGAGATATTTGGCTCCTTCTTGTATATGCTGAGTCAGCGCGTGGCTTTCAGTCTCGAACTTCGCGATTCATGTCACGTGACCCCCAAGATACCCGGTCCCGGTTTTTTATTTTTATTTTTTATAATAATTCAGTAAATTTATTTTAGTTACTCACTCAACGAATTATTTTATTTATTTATTTTGGTATATCACTCCCACTAGCTTTGACCGACATTAAGTAATTAATGATGATAGTTGAGGGTCTTTTCGTCTTATTCCAAAAGATTTTTATTTATTTGACAGTTGTAAAAAAAGTTAATTTACAATAAATGCTAAAGTTGAATTCAATTTTTATTTTTTTTGGTTTCCAAACGTGGAAATGATGAATAATTAATTAAGGGAAGAATATATATGTAATTCTTTTTTAGAGGAAAGTTTTTTTATGTGTTTTAAGAGGAAATATATCTTTGAATAAAATATATATAAAAATGGTAAGTTTTTAATAAAATGTAAAAATGGTTAGTAATTTTACAGCTAGAAGTAACGTGGCGAGCAACCTAGGATTTGCCGCCAAAATTTATAAAGAAAAGAAAAAATAATAATATTAGTGTGTGGTACGTCTCTAGGCTTTTTTCTGTACTCTTTGTTCCCTCACTCGCTCTCCCACCACTACTTGCACTCCGTGTCTCTCACGCGCGTTTTTATTTTTAAACATTAATTTTGATTTGTTGGGGTTTTTACTTGGGTTTAGGGATATCAAAAGCTTTACTACTACTACATTGGTTCCTAATATTTTGGACTAAATACAATCTTTGAATGCAATGAGATTTGATTTGATTTTTTTTCTTCTTTTCAAATTCAAATATATGATATTTGATATAGTTGTTAAAAAAGGACTAGTATGTCATTGAATATGTAAAGACTCGATTATAGTAAATACCAAAAGAGTTGGAGAAGTTAGTTAACATGCCTAGAACCTAAAATAAAACGCAAATACAATGCATGTACAGAAACTAAAGAGTTAGAGGACTGTTATATACTAAAAATGCATGATTTAGAACTTAAAAGCATTTAACTTGTGTTAGGTTTTCAATTCTTTTAATTAGTAACCCAAATGTAATTATATATATATATATATATATTCATAAATCTTTTATAGTCATGAAGAAATTTAGTTAGGAACCCAAATGTAATTTTATTGGTCCTTTAATTGAGGGGAAAGTCAATTATTCATTTATTCTATAACTAAGACTAAGAATTAAACATGGTAATCGATGTGATAAGTATGACTATAACGTAACAGCGGAAAGGCAAACACACACACTATGACTTAATTACAAGTCAAAACCGTTTTTTTTTGTTCTTTCGAATTTTTAATGAAAAATTAGTAGTAATTTACTGGTAAAAGAAATAATTATTTCGCTAATTTATCAGAATTCCAGGACAATTGAAAATGAAATACATCTACTTCAATTCCAACGCAAAACGAAATTTCATAACATCGGAAACTCATCTACACTTTCAAACATTCTGACCATATATTATTTGTGAGGTACTTTGCATATTTGTTACCACTGATAAGTTTTGAAACATCATAAAAGTTTTATCTCTGACCATTATTGCATTGCAGGTTCCATTACTAGATCACCATAGTGGCTGTAACACATATACAAATATTTCCTAGTGAATTAACTTTTCAGATTTCATATCTATATTATATAGTTTTGTGTAGACTAATTTGCAGCTAAGAAATCAATTACAAATTAGAAAAAAAAAAATACAATGTACATTTAGTTAGCAAATCAAATTAAATGTCTATGTTATCCTCATATAACATTAGTTCTATATCATTCAGATTCATTCTTAATTTTCTTTTTAATGGTAAAAACGTAAAAGCTTTATAGTCTCGATCCCACATGATAGTATGTATAGTAACCTCTTTTCTCGAAAGTGAAATATTCCAATGAAAAAGAGATCGAAAACTCCGTTTTCCTACTTTCTCAATTTTTACATTTCACTACTGAGAATATATTTCTTATTATCTTCTTCTTTGTATCTACAAGAACATACTCATAGATTTTTTTTTCTTTATAACAAAGACTTTGTAAGGACAAACATAAAGAAGAAGAATGAAAAAAAGAGAAACGTAGGCAAAATATTGAAGCATGCACGTGGACCCAAAAATCTAAAGAGTAAGATTAGCTTTGACCACTTATTAGATTACATAGGTGTAACGCATCCTCCTCACTACTCACACGTCTCTGTTTTTTTATTTTTTTCTTATTGTATATAAATCTTATAACAATTTCTTATTATAATTTTTGTGTGTGTTTATTATTAATATTTAATTAAATATAAGACTTACGAGTGATTTTTATATAAAATTTTGAATACGTAGGTTAATAAATTTATATCGAATTTTTGTTTTTTTGTTTTTTTATGTTGTTGTTACTTTTTCATCGGTGTTGAATGTGACACTCTCGATACATCGCTTTCGATGTGAAAATCTTCAAATATAAGGGATCACGTTATTTCTTTTATGTTTTTGTGTTTCATGTTCTTGACTTGTTTTAGGGACCAACAATCGCATGTTTTTGCTACAAATAAATTCTTCAAGTCAATGAAAACAACATCCTTTATGATTCATTCTCTAAAATTTATAAAAACGTATCAACAACATAAAAACCAACGATATTAACTCGTGATGAACGATTCTTCTTAAAAACTAGTTTTAGCGAATAAGGATGTATAAAGGAATCGAACTCATTTTGTCACCTACTTGTCTAAGTCAGTAAATATACTTAAATCGTAAAGCACATTGCCACTTGTTGTTTCGGATTCGACCACTTGTCACATTTATTTCATATATATAAATCACATAATTTTCAGGTTGAAGTTTCACATTTCTAGGTTTAAAATTATTCAAAGCAAAAAAAAAAAAGGCGCGTGGGTTCGCGTGAGGAGGAAGAAAAAAAATGTTGAAGATCCAATGTGAAGAAGAGAGGGACATGAAGAATCCTTTGGATTGGCAAAGACAAACCCCAAGGTTTAGTGCAGTGTTCTCCTCCATTGAGCCAAGTGACCCAATAATAATCCCAAATTTTTAACATCTAACTATATACTAATGTAAATGATTACTATAAGTTTACATATTTATGTGTGTCGATTAAAACGACAATTAAGTAAATACAAGGAAACTTAGACAAACTGAATCTTGCTTGGCCTTCATCGATAAACACAAAGTTATATATACGTATACTACTACTACTACTTAAGATTACAATTTGTTTCGTGTAATCACGTTTTCCAACCATATGATTAATACTTACATATACTCCTAATTCATCAACATTACATTCGAAAAATCCGTTAAATATTTCACCTGTCCATTCATCTCTTTCGTATGCTTATAATGAATCCTTCATTCTCTCTTTTTTTTTTTTACTCTAGTACACGGTAAAATAGAAAGAACAAAACAAACGATGGATTGATTTCAAAGGTAATTAATTAAGGTCCTGTAATAATTAATGTAAGCAACTAAACATCCACTTGGTGTTCGGTAAAATTAGTCAAGACTTAGAGAATATAATTCATTGCTCATCAAGTCCAAGATCCTAATTAAAAAAAGTTTCTTCCGGATTATATGCATTGTAAACATTTTTTACATACTTATTTATTGACATACAATTTTAAGATACGTACGTGCATGTATACGCAAATAATAAACATATATATTGTTATTTTCTCTACAATAATTAGCAAATACCATAAAGAATGTAATGAAAAAACCTTAATAATCATTCGATCTGATAATTAATTTCAGGTTCTTCTATTATTGAGTTGAAAATATCGTCCAAGTATAGTACAACACATCCGAAGAAAAATGTAAGAAGTCACCGCAAAATAGTTTTAGTGTATGACTTATTTTCAAATTATAAGCTGGAAATAATAATAGTACTATCACAGATCATAAGACCGTTTCTTTTTAAATTCTTGAAACCATTTCCTAATCAAGATCCTTAAAAATTCAGGGTTATTGATTTCAGCACCATGGTTTTTTTTGTTTTGTCTTAAAGACCGGTGATTAGAAAACGAGGTTCATAATTAGCGATTAAATCTTTTTTTTTTCTCGAATAAAACCGTGAATTGCGTCGTATGTGGATTATAAAAATTATTACTGCAAAGGCCAAGTTGTTCCATTATTTACCATAACGTTAAAAAATTGATCAGAATATTTTAACACGGTGTTATAGTGATAATCAAGGCCAGCTCAAACTCCAATAATTGTAATACTATCATATTTATGTGTGAATGTTTTAAACAAAAAGAAATTGGGTGTTAAAATATCGACTGGTTTTGTTGATTTTGTTGGCAATCATGTGCTGGCTGAAAGCATATAAGTGAGCCTCTCCTACAAGACGGTCCTAGATTTAATGTGAATGTACTCTAGTTTTCTTGGTGTCAAATAAAGAGTCGTTGGGCCATCCGGTTTAATTTGGTTTAAAAATTAAAATTATACTATTTGAAAAGAAAACCAAAGAATATAACTTAGGTCTTAGAGTGATTGAAATCATTATAACGTTAAAGGATGATCTCTAAGCTCTCCAAGGAAGCGATATGGCTTTGTTCAGAGAGTGGAAACGTTAAAGATGCGAACATGTGGATGGATAAGTACGTAGCATGTCCATTAGTTGTATCG